CTCGCAGAGGCAGCGGAAGGCGTTCCACCACTCCCAGCTGTCGTTCAACATGCGGTTGGTGTTGGGGTCCCGTTGCTGCGTTAGTGAAGGGGGGGGGAGTTGAGGAGAGGACAGAGGGGAAAGGGGAGAGTGATGAGACAGAGGCAGCGAGAGGCGTTCCACCACTCTTGATGAGCATGCAGTTCATGTTGCACTCCCAGCAGGCGTCCCGGCAGCAGAAGGCGCTCCACACCGGCTCTCGGCTTGAGCGACCCCCCCGCTCCTCCACTTCATGAGCCATGAGCCGGGCATTCCGTTGGCTTGGCTCGTGCAAGGCTGGTCCGGCTCGGTTCAGAGGGAGGAGGAGACGAGCCTACCCGAGCTTGGCTCGAGGCGAGCCAGGCTTGACTCGGCCCGTGCTCATGTCTCCTGTGCCCTGACCCCTCTCCATCATGGCCGCATCTTCCACAGGCGTGCCTTCTGCCCCCAGGTAGCGTGGCAGCGAGGACCGGCACAGAGGATATGGATCGTGCCCCCGTGAGACGTGCGTGGCAGGCAGTGTCTGGGCATGCGAGGGGGCACCAGACGTGTGCGGGGCAGCAGAGCAGAGTTGACACAGATCAGGGAGGGGCGCATGGCTGGAAGAGGCCAGGTGGAGAGAATGCCAGGAAGGCAGCCAGGGCAGGGGTTCAGAATGGCATCGCAGCACACTGCAGCGCAGCACACCACAGCACAACACTGCAACCAGGTGAACTTTGAGTCGACTCAAAAGTCACCAGGAAGGCAGGGCAGGGGTTCAGAACCGCATCGAAACACACCACAATACTGCAACCACCAGCAGAAAAGAAACCCGTGTAATACTGCAACCACGACCTCACTGCGTGCAATGCATGATCACACCATCTCCCATCCTCCCTGAAACCACCCTCCCTCTCACCATCATCACGGCATCCTCCTCTGGCGTGCCCTCTGCTGCCTGCAGCTCCGGAGACACCAGGGGGATGCGCAGCCACAGCTGCACGGGTGGGGGGGGGGGGGGGAAGAGAAAACGAGGAGTGGGGGGGAGAAGACGGGGAGAAGGAAATGATTGTTGAGGCGCCTCAACAATTCCCCTCTGCTGCCTCCGGCTCCAGAGAAACCAGGGAGGCGCGCAGCCACAGCTGCACGGGTGGGGGAGGGAGAGGGGGAGGGGGGGGGGGTTAAACGGGTCAGCGTAGGGAAAGGAGGTGATACCCAGCGGGGTGCGCAGCCATAGCTGTAACGGAGGGGGTAGAGGAGAAAGAATGAGGAAAGAGGACAGGGTAGAGCAGCAGGGGCAGGGAAGGAGGAGCGTGGTGAGGGTAGGGGGGGAAGGTCGGTGACACCAGTGGACCTGCGCAGGCGCATTTGTAGGGGTGGGGGGAAGGAAAGACAACAGGTTCGAGGCACCCGAGGACATCTTGGTTGATGCGCACGCGCGCACACACACACACACACACACGGACACACACGCACACACACACACACACACACACACACACACACACACACACACACACACACACGCACACCCCTTCACCCCCGCTCCACACGCGCACCTGCATGCTGGACAGCCCCTGCAGCACTTGGTTGATGCACCGCGCATAGTTGCCGCAGTCCAGAGCCTTGGGCGTCGGCAGCAGACACGCCTGGAGAGGGTTAGTTAGGGGTTTGGGGTTTTAATGCATGCAAATGAAAACGTGTTAGAGAATGGTGCGGTAGTTGCCGCAGGGCCAGGGCCCTGGGCGTGGGGAGCAGGCACGCCTGAAGAGGGTGGTCGGGGGTTAAGATAGGACTATAAAAATGAGGGTATGATAACTTGTTACACCGAAGATGTGAGTAATTACCGCAATCCAGAACCTTGGGCGTGAGTTGAAGGGAAGGCACACCTGGAAACAGTTGGTGAGTGTTTGGCAACTGATTCCAGGCGCCTGAAAAGAGCAACCTTAAAATCCTCCATTAAGCCCTGAATCCCCACCAAACCCTCATCTCCACCTTTGGCCTCCAACCGCCTGGTTTTACAAATGCGACCGATTCGTCGACCCACTCCCCTGAAGTGACAAATGCGAGGCCCAGCTGATCTCCTGTTAAATCACTGTCCGACTCTTGATACACCTGATTCCCACTAACGGACCCATTCTCAACAGCCCAGATCCAGACAGACTGACCCACTAACCTCAAGTGACAAATGCGAGGCCCCCGGCTCATCAACTATTTTGATGCACCTAAACACCCTATGAAACGGCAAAACCCTCATCCATCTCAAACTTACTCAATCTCAACAGCCCGAACCCACTAACCTGGAGTGACAAATGCGAGGCCCAGCTGATCTCCTGTTTAATCACGGTCTCGCTGTCAGATCGCATCAGCGAATCAGGCGAGTCCACGTCAGCCCACGTGGAGAGCTTGCCGACCACGTGGCTGCTCCATTGCGAAGGGCTCAGGACCAGATCCGACCCCGCGAAAGGCGGCACCACCGCCCCGCCTGCTGCCGATGGCTTGGCTTCACTGGGACGGTAGGAGGGATCGGTCTGGGGAGGGGTGGGGGGTGGTGGGGAGGGGTAAGGAGGCGAATGCGAAAGCGTAGGAACGTCTCAGGACCAGATCCGACCCCGCGAATGGCGGCACCACAACTAATTGATGCGCCTCGTGTCGCATCAGATCAGAGGCTTCGAGCACAGCCAGAAACGAATATCGAGGAGGGTTTTGCTGCAGCTACCAGGGAACATCCCTTCAATTGGCTGCGCTGTTCCCCACATAAAACGGCGGGTTCAGCCTCCGACGAGTTGAGCTGGTTTTCTAGAGTTCGGGTTCTGTTCCAGATGAAAGCGGCCCTTTCGCCGATCGGAGATCCGGGAATGCCAGCATTTCATTGCGACGAGCAAATGGAGCAAGGGGAAGAGGTGTGAGGTGCGATCTAGAAGGCCAGGGAGGGAAGGCGGGAGCAGCTCGCAGTGTGATAGAGGAGCGAGGATGACACTGAATCGAGGGAAGACGTGTAAGGTGTGAACCAGAAAGGGACGAGGGAGGGAGAGAGGGAGAGAGAGTATGCAGTTCGCAGCGTACTAGAGAATAGACGATGAAATCGAGGCGAGGGATTCAATCTGAATGAAGGCGAGGGTTTTGAGGTGTGATCCAGATTGGGAGGGATTGAAGGGCGGAATGGGGGAGCGAGGGAGGGTTTGCAGCTCGCAGCGTACTAGGGGAGCGACGATGAAATCGAAGCCTCCTGCCAAGTTCGCAGCCAAAGTGTGATGGATGTCCTCGCTATAAGCGACCTCGGCACCGCCGTATCGCGATTCGCTCGCATCGCCGGCTCTCTGACCGAGCGGCATGGCTGACGTGGTCGAAGAGATCGCACGACCCTGGAGGGAATTAACTCTCAGAAAAGCCTTTCAGGAGAACAACCTCTACCTGCGACACTAGGACGAAATCTGTCGAACTTAGTGACTAGCTAGCCCGAAACGATCGAAGGGCGAGTTTCACGAGTGAAGGTGGGAACGGGATGGAGGGAAGCTTTGAATGGGACGTTCTTACAATTCAAGATGTACATCGTTTTGGTATAGAAGTGCAAAATTCACAACTAAGCACTTGTAGTTAGACACTTATTCATCTTAAAATGAACTTGCCGGTATTTAAATTTTAGTTTCGTAAAAAGTCTTTTTGTCTAATGGCATGGAAGTTATGAGATTTATCTTGCTTCAAATGGCACTGCAGATAAAGAACCAAATTAGAAACTTTGCAAATATTGACGTGAAATTCATAGATAGGTATAATATTATCTATTCCGAAATCCACGGGAGAACGAAATCTAAGAGCAACCATAGGTGTTATGAACGAGAACTGCTTGTACAGCATGTTAACTGTAAGGCACTTCAGCACAAAACTGTACAAGCAGGTACAGCACTTGAACAAAATGTGGCCCTAAATTCAGGTTTTTCGAAGCCTGCTTTTGTCGTTGAGCCAAATTTGTCGTCCACCATGTACAGTCTCCCAGGGGATAATTCAGGTCTCATCCGCTTGCCATTGCGTGTGAAGGGCGGGTAACCTACGGTTTTGTCGGCCTAGTTCCGGAACTCAGTTCCGAACTCGATATACGCCAGTTCCGTTCGTCGATGGAACATCGAGTTTCGAAACTGGATGTTCCATCGATCAAACGTTTGAACGACGTGCGAAAAGTAATATGCGAATAATTGAAACCCAACCCTTCGTGAGTCAATCAAACGCTAGGCATGACAAATCTCGTGGCACACATTTTGTCACTTCCGCGATTGGCGGTTCAGGCGCGCGAGTAAATTCGTTCGTTGACGTGGTGTACTTTTCCCTCGCAGGCCACGCGTGTCTTTTCGCACAGAACTGGAGGGAGATTCTCGAACGGCCGTCCGGACGACCGTTCGAAACTGGCGTCCAGACGACGCTGGAACATCGAGTCTCGAAACTGGAGAATCATTCGCAACACGGTTAACGAACTTATGTGCGAAGATATCTGTCACCACACCAAAACTCGGACGGAACTCAGTTCCGAAACCGTAGGTTACACGCCCTAGCCTCGGCTCACTCCGCCAGGTGTCGAGCAGGACAAATCTCTACGTGGCTGTTATTTTGACAGGTAAGCAGCATCATCGACGTGGAAGAGTACGGCAGCAGCATCCTCCCCTCACCTCATTCCTCTGCCAGATCAGTCCAGGTCCACGTGAGACGCGACGCGACTACGGCTGATGTCTTTTGTGATAAGTGAAAGCCCCACCTGTATCCGCCGTGATAAGTGTGGTCGTCGGGCCGCCTCGCCATTGCTCTATCGAAATTCGGCCAAATTCATTTCGAGCATCGCAGACCTGAAACGCCTGCGACTCGAAATTTGTGTGAATTCTCAGAAAGAGACATTGCGATTCGAAGCATCAGCAGAAACTCGACGCCGCACACACAACTCAACCACTCGTTTACACGTTCGTTTTGACATTTAAGTTGGCTCTTCAACCCGTAAGTCTCATCACTCAGCTTTATAAACCACCCTCATCGAGAACGTCTTTGTGAGACGGCGATCTCGTTTTAGATTCCTTACAGCATGGCTACTCCTAAGCCTGCGCTTTTGGCGATCTCCTTCACCTTGCTCGTCGCTTTCGCCAGCGCTGCGGCTCCTGCCGCCACTCCTGCAAAGGGCGCTCCTGCTACTCCTACTCCAGCTCCTGCGAAGAGCACTCCTGCGCCATCCACTCCCTCTCCTTCCACCCCTGCACCTGTCGTCATTCCTCCCGGCAAGGCCGCCATCAACAGCCCCACTTTGAACGAGAAGCCCGACCAGAGCAGCAAGAAGGACGATGGGCTCATGACGCAAGTCCCCGCGGACATCGCGAAGCAAGCCGCGACGGGCAATGCGGCCGGCGTCACATACGTCGACACGGCGCAGGATTCCATGTTCATGGCCGATGTTAAGAAGGCCGGCTGGAACGCGCAGAAATGCCCGCCTGGACTTAACAAGGAGCGCGCGTCGGCGTGCACGCCCAAGAACTGCTCCCGGGGTGGAATCCCCGCCAAGTGGAAGACTTCGTACCTGCAGAAGAGCAAGCTCGGTTACGAGCTGTACCAACCTGGTAACCCGCTGACGATCACGAAGGCGAACCCCGCGTCGTGCTGTAACACGTGCGCCGGGATGCCCCAGTGCACGTACTGGCAGTACATCCCCGATATTACCATCGACGGGAAGAAGGGCAAGGGCGCGTGCTTCCTCATCCACGACAAAATCGACTTTACCTGCGGAGAAATGACGGCGCAGTATTCGACGGAAACCAAGCCCGTGCCGCTGCAGGTGCGCATCGGCGGCGAGTGCAACCCGCACCCGAAGGTCCTCAACGACCCGCATCTGGTGGGAGCGCACGGCACGCACTTCGACTTCAACGGCCGCCCCGACAAGGCGTTCTGCCTGCTCACGGACCGCAACCTGCACGTGAACATGCTGCTCCGCGGGTACTACGACGAGAGGACCGAGAACGCTGCGCTCGTGGTCGACGGAAAGGCGGTTCACACCTGGATTAAGTGAGTATCTCTTTTTCTCCTGTTAGTCCTTTCAAAGTCTCGCTCATTTCCCCCGCCACGGATTCAGATTCGTACTCTCTTGATCATTGTGGCCCCGTGCTTATCATTAGCGCCTTTTCTGTCCTATGAATTTTCTCCCTTTCTTCAGGGAGCTCGGCATTATCTGGACCGCTGACGGCGCGGACCACAAGATCCGCCTGGCGGCGCGCGGCGGAAAGCAACAGGAGCGCGGCGACGGATTCATGAAATCCATCGAGATCGACGGCGAAGAAATTCCCCGCATGCAGCTCGGCGACGTGGTTACCAGCACGGGCGGGCTGACGATCGAATTCCACGCGCACGAGAAGGAGGGACCCTTCGACGTGGATTACTACCTGCTGTCGATCGAGGGCCTGGTTTCGTTCGACCTGAGGCTGCGTGTCGCACACCCCAAGCTGCAGACGCCGACCGACGCGGAGGTTCACCTGAATCTCGGAATCACGGAGCTCGATCACACGGACGAGATTCACGGCGTGCTGGGCCAGACGTACCGCGAAGATCACGCCCAGCGCGCGGAGAATTTCCAGCGGTTGATTGCGACGCTGCACCACCCGATTTCGGCGGATGGTGGCGACGGAGCTGGGTTTCTGGATGGTACACCCAGGTCGTACGAGGCGAGCGATGTGCTTGCTGTGGATTGCGCGTATACCGCGTATGCCCGTGCGCAGAAGGTTCAGCCTGTGGAGCAATTCCATTATTAGTGTGCTCTTTTGGAGCACTCTGAGTGTATTGTATGGTGGGCTGAGCTGACTGTCGGAATGGTGTTCTTGTTTCGTGTTGTTTCTGATGGGCTGAATGATTCGCGTTTGCATGGTGTGGTTGCTGTTGGGTTGTTCTGGAGGACTGAATGGTGCGATGGGCTGAATGTTGTGGTTGGATTGAATTGTGTGATTGAATTGCAGCTTGGTGGGATTGATGGGTTGTACTCTATAGTGGGCTGTTTGTATTGTACGGTGGGCTGAACTTGATGGCTTGTTGTTAGAACGCTCATGCCTAAATTCTTTCATTGTTTGGTGGGGCTTATATTTCATTATTGTGGGCTGTTTCTCTCTGTTTCTACTCGCTATAAGAATTTTATGTCAACCGCCCCACGTCAGTATTTTTGCCACAATCACAAAAGAAGTTGGTTCCCGGACGGCGCGGTAGGGTAAACCTCAGCTACCCTGTAGTACGAACCGCTGCTTCATTCGTCCGTTCGTTCTGCCCATAGGACATCTCAGGAGTAACTGCTCAGTTGGGGAAACTGCCAATCGAAATTAAATGAAGCGTGGGAAGAAATGTTCGCAAACGTTACACAGCCTTGACGAGCTTCGTGAATTTCCAGCGATGCCCCCAACACTGCCCGCGGGTTGTCCCCCAAAAGTTCGAAAATCTATAACACGAAACAAAAGTTATTGGTCACCCAGACTTGATACAGTCCCTACTACATGCACCCTCAGGGCGAGTTCTTGGCAGGTGTCAAGCACTTAGAGTCAGAGATTTGACACAGTAGATTTCGCCATATCAGCATATTTCCGATCGCCTCCGTCCGTCCAGAACGCGCCCTGACGAAGCGCGCCTATCGTCGCCTCCGCCGATGCGCTCGACACGGCCAAGAACGCGCCCTTAGATGAGCGTGTTAGGCAATTGAGACCGTCTCAGCGCGTTTCCGCTCGTTCTCGCTACTGTACTTTCACATCCCCGATTCCGCCTTTCCACGTGCGATCCGCCAATTCAAGGCAGGAGTTTCGAAGCGCAGAGCCTCCGTCGTATCACGCCGCGTTCGAGCCTTTTCAGTTTTTTCCTTTTTGTGTCGACTATAAAACCGACAGTTTCCGGCGTAGTTTTCAACTCATTTGGAAGCTCCGTGTACCGCTACCCTCGAGTTGTTGCTGGTACTGGCACACTTGCGGGCTGCGTCAAACGAGTAGGTAAGAGCCCGTACATCGCGATTCCTATGCGTCACTTGCGATTCGGGTGATTCGCCTTTCGCTGGCCACTCGCTACGCTACCATCCCCGTCGTCCTTGCCTCCCCTGCCCTCTACCCTCCCGTCTCCCCGCGCCTTCCGTCTCCCCGCGCCTCTCGTCTCCCCGCGCCTTCCGTCTCAACTTGCCTTCCGCCACCCCCCTCCCGGCTCCCCGCGCCTTCCTCCTCCCCCCGCCCGGCTCCCCACACCTCCCGCCTCCCCGCGCTGTCCATCTCCCCGCGCCTCACCCGCCTCCCCCTCTCCTCGCCTCCCCCTCTCCTCGCCTCCCCCTCTCCTCGCCTCCCCCTCTCCTCGCCTCCCCCACTTCTCGCCTTTCCCCCCCTCCCCTCCGCTTTTGAGTCGACTCAAAAGCAGGCTCGCCTTCGCCTTCACCCTTTTTTGGTCCCTCTCCCAGTGCCATCCCCCCTCCGCTCCACCTTTTTTTCTTCCCTTTCCTCCTCCCCTCCCCCCCTCCCTTCGCCTGGCAATGCCTCCCCTCTCCCCCAAGATTGCCGAAACCTGAACCCGCAGCGGCAGGCTTTTCAGTCGACTCAAGAGTCAGCCCTTCCCCTCGTCCCCCCCCCTTCCCCCCCTTGCCCCCCCTCCCTCTCCTTTCTCCTTCACCCCCCGCAACGCCTCCATTCTTCCCCAACATTGGCAATACCTCAACCCGCACCGTCCGTAACGTGCGGAGGGTCAATGAGGCAACGGTTAGGTTCACACAACCCCCCCCCCCCCCTCCCCCCCCCTTCCCCCTTTCCCTCCCCTCGCCCCCAGGGCGCAATGGACCCTCTTGGTAAGGAAGAGGTTTCAGCAAGGGTGCCAACGCAGTGGCAGCGGCAGCGGCAGCGGCAGCGGAGAGAAGAGGGTCGTTGAGGCAACAGAATATACCATCCCTCGTCTTTTGAGTCGACTAAAAATGCACCTGGACAAAGGAGTCTATTTTTGAGGCGCCTCAAAAATAGACGCCTCAAAAATAGACTCCTAAAAAATGGACTCCTCAAATTACACAATGGACAAAGGTGCCAACGCAGTGGCAGCAGCAGCGGAGAGGAGAGGGTCGTTGAGGCAACAGAGAACACCATCCTTCATCTCCCTCCCTCCCACCCTCACCGCCAGGCGCTGTTGTCCCTTGTGCCAGGAGAAAAGAGTGCAAAAGGTGCCACACAGCAGCAGCAGCAGCAGCAAAGGGTTAAGCGTCGGTGAAGCAACAGCTTTGAGTCGACCCAAAATGCCACACAGCAGCAGCAGCAGCAGCAGCAGCAGCAGCAGCAGAGGGTGAAGCGTTGGTGAAGCAACAGAAAGGTCGTCTTTTTCCACTAAAAAGTTCCCAGGTTTCAGCTACCCGCTCCCCCTTTCCCCCTTTCCCTCCAGGGGCGCAATGGACCCCTTTGGAAAGGGAGGGGGTTCGAAAGGCGCCAGTGCCACAGCTGCAGCAGCGGACTGCAGAGGGTTGTTGCGGCAGCAGAAGGTCATCTTCTCCACTAGAAAGTTACGCATTTTCCATCTACCCCCTCCCCCTCTCTCTCCCCCCCCCCACTAGCTCCGAAGTCACAATGGACCCCTTCGGAAAGGGAGGGGGTTCGAAGGGCGCGACAGCAGCAGCTGCAGCAGCGGACCGCAGAGGGTCGTTGCGGCAACGCAAGGTGGCGGCAGACGTGGTGGCAGTGATGATGGATGAAGGCACCAGGAAACGAGTGAGTGCTGCAGCCGTGGACTAGCGTTTTGAGGTTACTGAGGAGAGCAGGGGAGAGGCGAGAGGGGCGTTGAGGCAAGGCAAGGCGGCAGCAGATGTGGCTTCAGTGATGATGGATCATCCAGCACACGGAAACGAGTGTGTGGTGAGAGCAAGACACAAGGAAAGGAGTGAGTGTTGGATTTGTGGACGGGAATTCAAGTGAGGTTTAAGCTCGCTCAAGGGAGCAGCTGGCTTTTGAGGCGCCTCAAAAGGATTCAAGTGAGGTTTAAGCTCACTGGACGGAGCAGGTGGAAGGAAAGTGTTGCTGATGCAACGCAGGGTGGCAGCAGATGTGGCCGCGGTGATGATGGATGAAGGCACGAGGAACGAGTGACTCTCGAGAGCAAGGCACGAGGGAACAAGTGAGTGTTGACTCTATGGCACAACTTCACCCCAACTCCTCCAGTCTCCAAACCCAACCCCCCCCCCTTTCCCCCCATCTTTCCCCCCTTCCCCCATGGCTGCGCCCAGGCAGCAGCAGCACGGCTAGAGGTTCTGGAGAGTGACTATATCGGGGTGGATGCTACTGTAAGCGTTCCTGGGGTGACTACATTTCCTGTTCTTCTCGCCTCTTCCTAACCGATTTCTCCTCCTCCTCCCTCCCCCCCCCTCCCCCTTTCCCCCTTCCTCTTATTGGTGCTGCCAGGCAGCAGCAGCTCGACTAGAGGCACTAGAGAGTGACTATACAGGGGTTGATGCTACTGTAGATGATGACGATGAGGCTTTTAATGCGGAGGAAGAATTGGTTCAAGAAGGTATGCTTATAGCGAGTATAAACGTGCTGGCTTAAAGAAGGTGTGCTTATAACGAGCATGAATTTGTGTGGAAAGGGGAAGGATTCAAGAGTAAGAGTTACAATTGGGTGGAGGTAGGGGCACGAGTTGCGGAGGAATGCAGGAGACTATTTTTGAGGCGCCTCAATAATGGAATGCAGGAGAGAGAACGCCAGGTGGCGTTTTTAATGGTCTTATGATTGGAGTGTTTGGTTTGGTTGGATTGAGGAATGGAGGAACCCTCCAAACCCTCCAAACCCTCCAGCCATGGTTGCACAGGGAAGGAGGAAGGAGGAAGGAGGAAGGAGGAAGGAGGAAGGAGGAAGGAGGAAGGAAGGAGGAAGGAAGGAGGAAGGAAGGAGGAAGGAAGGAGGAAGGAAGGAGGAAGGAAGGAGGAAGGAAGGAGGAAGGAGGAAGGAAGGAGGAAGGAAGGAGGTGGGAAGGAAGGAGGAAGGAAGGAGGAAGGAAGGAGGAAGGAAGGAGGAAGGAAGGAGGAAGGAAGGAGGAAGGAAGGAGGAAGGAAGGAGGAAGGAAGGAGGAAGGAAGGAGGAAGGAAGGAGGAAGGAAGGAGGAAGGAGGAAGGAGGAAGGAGGAAGGAGGAAGGAGGAAGGAGGAAGGAAGGAGGGTTCCTCCATTCCTCAATCCGTCCAAACCAAACCCTCCAATCACGGTCGCGGAAAGTTGTGAGGCGGCTCAAAGCATGGCCACGGAAAAGTCACCCCGGTGCAAACCTCCAAACCCTCCAGCCATGGCTGCACAGGACTGGAGGAAGGAGGAAGACGGGGTGATCCTTCCATGGCCTTGTCTTGCACTTGCACCTGCTTGTACCTGATCGTCCCTTCCTCATTTTTAACCCTTCTCTCTTTCTTGGTGCTTTTTCAGTCGACTCAAAATACACCTTCCCATGCACTTGCACTTGCTTCTACCTGATCGTCCCTTCCTCATTTTAACCCCTTCTCTCTTTCTTCCCCCATCTTTACTTGAGTGGGATCAGGTTTCACTCCCACTAAACCAATCAGCCAAACAGGGAAGGGGCAAATGAGGCAGGCTTCTGCAGCAGCTCTTGTGTCGGCCCTCTACATACCCTCTCCTCCTATGCTCTCCCTTACCCCTTATCTCTGCTCCCAGGTTTCGCACCCACCAAGCGAGTGAGCCGACCAGGCACGAGACGGGCAGCAGCAGCAGCAGCAGCAGCAGCAGTTACAACTCTTGTTTTCTACCCTCTTCTCCTATCTTCTCCCAGGTTTCGCGCCCGCCAAGCGAGTGAGCCGACCAGGGAAGAGGCGAACAAGGCAGGCTGCAGCAGCGGTGGTGAGCCGAGCGAGCAAGAGAACAGCCAAGACATTCGCGGAACTGCTGGAGGAGGTGAGACGGCTCGGGGTTGCATGGTTTTAGGGTTACTGGGAGGGTACCAGGGGCTACTACATGGAGTAGCAGCCGCTGCTGCGGTGGTGAGCCGAGCGAGCAAGAGAATGCCCAAGACATTCGCGGAACTGCTGGAGGAGGTAAGAGGGTAGGAGGTCCCAGAGTTAGCTAGGGTTACAGGGTTACCATGGGTAACCAATGGTAGCATTTGATGCAGCAGTGATGGTGAGCCGAGCAAGCAAGAGAACACCCAAGACATTCGCCGAACTGCTGGAGGAGGTACAAGATTTGCTGGGGGGGGAGGAAAAGGGGAGGGGATGGGGTGTAGTTGCCTTGCCGCCCATCACCCATCATCCATGTGTGAGGATTCTATTTTTGAGGCGCCTCAAAAATCATCCATGCTTGAGGATTCTATTTTTGGGGCGCCTAAAAAATCATCCATGCGTGAGGAGTCTATTTTTGAGGCGCCTCAAAAATCGACTCCTCACGAAAAGGGGGGGGGGGATGGGGTGTAGTTGCCGCCCATCGCCCATCATCCCTAAGTTATTTGCATTTAGAATAGAACGCATCCCCCTTTCCACAGACCAACCTAGAAGCCCTCCCATCGGTCACGACTCACCACCCGGCCTCACAGCAGCGATGGCGCCTCCCACTGTGACACTGACACTTGTGACCCTCCCACTGTGGGCCCCTCCCACTGTGACACTGACACTTGTGACCCTCCCACTGTGACCCTAAACCCTAAACCCTAGACACTTGTGCTCTGTAAGCAGCAATATGCTTCCTCCGTTAATTCCCGTGCCTTCCTTTCTGCCCCTATATTCCAAAGGAGAATCTCGAGGCCCTCCCTCCTGGAACGCTGTCCTATCTCACAGCAGCAATGGGGCCTCGCACGCTAGCATGTGTGCGCAATTGAGTCAGACTCAAATGCTGATTCAAATGGGCCCTCCCACATCCGTCTGCCGTTCCTGTTTTTGAGGCGCCTCAAAAATTGACTCCACCGCAACATCAGCCCGCCGTTCCTATTTTTGAGGTGCCTCAAAAATTGACTCCACCGCAACATCGGTCCGCCGTTCCTGCTCTGTGTGGGTGCCCTTGCCTTACCCTTTCCTTGATGCCTCTTCTTCTCTTCCCTTCCCTCTGCTTCCCCTTTCTCTCCCCCTTCATCACAGGCCAACCTAGAAGCCCTCCCACCTGGCACCCCGTCCTACCTCACAGCAGCAATGGGCCCTCCCACCGTCACATCTGCTCGCCGCTTCTGCTCCGTGTGCGGCACCCACGCTCCCTACACGTGCCCTCGATGTGGCTCTAGGTTCTGCTGTGTCAGCTGCCAAAGACTGCACAATGAAACCCGGTGCCTAAAGTTTGTCATGTGAAACACCGTTTATGGAAATGCAAGGGTGCCAGTGGAAATGTGTTTCTCTCTTGTATCACCATCTACACCGCATGCCTGCCTATGGTCTGTGTGCAGTACCCGTGCTCCCCTGCTAATGGTCTGTGTGCGCTACCCACCCACACTCCCTCCCTACACGTGCCCTATATGCAGCCCGAAGTTCTGTTGTGTGAGCAGTGCAGTTGGTGGTGTAAACCTTTTTGTAACAGCGTGTCTGTACCTAATGTTGGCGTAAAGCATCTTGCACAGCGCACACATGCTGCTGCTCTGTGTGGTACCACCACCTCCCATGCTCCCTCCTTTGACGTGTCCAAGGCACATGGCTCCATGGGTACAACTTTGAATTCCAAAAAGAGATCCCCTACAATAGTATCAAGAGAAAAGGCTTGCTGTGGAAATGCCATGTGCTAGCCAGAACTTGCTACCCCACTTTACACTAGTACTGATGTAGGCAGCATCACGCACGCCTCTTCCTATACTCCACTTGCTCCCCTCCAAGATCACGTATCCATTCCTTCCGTGACATAAGCTTGTTGCAAATCAACCTTCACCGCTATTGAGCGACACGTCCACTCCATTCCACGGTATGCCATATACCGACAACAACACTAGTATGGTAAATACCTACAAGTCTTTGTAACAAAAAGCAACCAACGTGTAATACCACTCTCAATCTGCCTCCTCTATGACCTCCTTCACCGAGGTGACCTGCAACCACCCACAGAGTGACACGAGCAGAAAGGAAATGGAAAGGTGAGTAAGCTGCATAAGGAGCAAAATTGTGCATGGCAGATGGATACAAAGCAGATGGATTCAAGGCAGATGAATACAAGGCAGATGGAACAAATCCATCAACCAAGTACCATCCACTCACGAGGTGACTTTTGAGTCTACTAAAAAGTCGCATTAGTGTGTCTCCTAAATGTGAGAATGAGGAGCACAAGGAAATGTGTGAAACAGATGCACATGTGTACAAATGCATCAAGGAAGTGTGAGTCACCCATTCAATTAGGAATGCACTGCATTGTATTAGCATCTATACAACTCCCGCCATCCGTCGCAGAGATGCTAATGCAGTGTTGCATCCCCTAAAGCGTTACACTCACCACACATGCTTCGACATTGTAGAGCACGAGCATATTCTCCACTCTGCTCTTACAGTCACAGGGAAGGAAGAATATGCTCTGCTATAGTCACATCCCTTTAACCATTCTACCCACTCAGCATGAGCATGTTCTCCACTCCGCTCTATAGAGTCACAGAGGAGGGAGAGCATGCTTTACCATCATTCGGTAAAATCACATTTCTCACCTCTGGAAAATAGTGTGTGAGCATGCTCTCCAATCTGCTCTTTCGATTCCCTCATGAGGAGGAACATGCTTTGTTATAATCATATCATCCAAACACTCCGTTACACTCACCTCTGGAATGTAGTGCATGAGCATGTTCTCCACTCCGCTCTTTAGAGTCACAGAGGAGCTCGGACACCCACTGCAGGCACCCTTCATACGCAGATACACGATACCAGAGGATCTGACGGGGTGGGGTGGGGTGGGATGGGGTGGGGTGGGGTGGGGTGGGGTGGGGTGGGATGGGGTGATAACAGGGATGAGAAAGGCGCATGATGTGAAGTGTCAGGTATAGGGTGCACTGGGCTCTAGCACCCACTTGAAAATGCTTTACCGTCACATGACATCCGCAAACCAACTCGGATGCTACTTTCAGGGAACTTGCGACGAAATAGCATGCCTTGACCGTGCCAAGGAAGAAACACATGTGGCTTGCAGCTTGCACAGAGGCACAGACGTCCACAACGAGCACAGCACGAGAGGACCTAAGAATCGAGCCTCAAAGGCCAGAGCAGCTCAGCATACTCATTTAACAGTTAGGGGTCAGACCTTTACCGGACAGACCTTGAGGGAAGAGACCTTAAACTACAGAGCGTGGAGAGCAAAGAGAGTCACAATGCACTCACCCACTTTTTAAAGTCAAACTCTTCCCTTAAAGTCAAACCCACTCCTCAAAGCCAACCAACCAAGTCGAACCCACTCATCAAAAGTCGGGAAAGTCAAACAAGTCAACCTCACTTCCTAAAGTGCACTCCTCAAAGTCCAACCCACTCCTCAAAGTCAACCAAGTCAAACTCACTCGTCGAACTCGACAAAGTCGATGTCGCCCCCATCCTCCTGCACGGCTGGGCGAATGCGTGTCTCGAGCAGCTCCCGGATCATCAGCACCGTCTCACTCTCGTCCTGGCAGAATTGGGGTAAGGGGGGAAACGGCGGGAAATGGGTGAAGAAAGAGGGGGCGGGGGGGAAGGGGGCATGTATGAATGCGCGTCTCCAGCAGCTCCCGGAGCATCAGCACCGTCTCCCTCTCGTCCTGGCAGAATCGGGGTTGATGCGGGGAGAAGGGGGGCCAGGGGGGATCAACGGGGGGTAACAGGGGGCCAGGGGGGGATCAACGGGGGGTAACAGGGGGGCCAGGGGGAGATCAACGGGGGGTAACAGGGGGGCCAGGGGGAGATCAACGGGGGGTAACAGGGGGCCAGGGGGAGATCAACGGGGGGTAACAGGGGGGCCAGGGGGAGATCAACGGGGGGTAACAGGGGGGCCAGGGGGAGATCAACGGGGGGTAACAGGGGGGCCAGGGGGAGATCAACGGGGGGTAACAGGGGGGCCAGGGGGAGATCAACGGGGGTAACAGGGGGGCCAGGGGGGATCAACGGGGGGTAACAGGGGGGCCAGGGGGGATCAACGGGGGGTAACAGGGGGGCCAGGGGGGATCAACGGGGGGTAACAGGGGGGCCAGGGGGGATCAACGGGGGGTAACAGGGGGGCCAGAGGGGGATCAACAGGGGGTAACAGGGGGGCCAGGGGGGATCAACGGGGGGTAACAGGGGGGCCAGGGGGGGATCAACGGGGGGTAACAGGGGGGCCAGGGGGGGATCAACGGGGGGTAACAGGGGGGCCAGGGGGGGATCAACGGGGGGTAACAGGGGGGCCAGGGGGGGATCAACGGGGGTAACAGGGGGGCAGGGGGGATCAACGGGGGGTAACAGGGGGGCCAGGGGGGGATCAACGGGGGGTAACAGGGGGGCCAGGGGGGATCAACGGGGGGTAACAGGGGGGCCAGGGGGGGATCAACGGGGGGTAACAGGGGGGCCAGGGGGGATCAACGGGGGGTAACAGGGGGGCCAGGGGGGATCAACGGGGGTAACAGGGGGGCCAGGGGGGATCAACGGGGGGTAACAGGGGGGCCAGGGGGGGATCAACGGGGGGTAACAGGGGGGCCAGGGGGGATCAACGGGGGGTAACAGGGGGGCCAGGGGGGATCAACGGGGGGTAACAGGGGGGCCAGGGGGGGATCAACGGGGGGTAACAGGGGGGCCAGGGGGGGATCAACGGGGGGTAACAGGGGGGCCAGGGGGGGATCAACGGGGGGTAACAGGGGGGCCAGGGGGGGATCAACGGGGGGTAACAGGGGGGGGGGGGATCAACGGGGGTAACAGGGGGGCCAGGGGGGGATCAACGGGGGGTAACAGGGGGGCCAGGGGGGATCAACGGGGGGTAACAGGGGGGCCAGAGGGGGATCAACGGGGGGTAACAGGGGGGCAAGGGGGGGGAAGCGGGGGAAAGGAAAAGGGACAGATATGAATGCGCGTCTCCAGCAGCTCCCGAATCATCAGCGCCGTCTCACTCTCGTCCTGGAATTTCCGGAAGGAAGGGCGGAGAGAAGGGGGGGGACAGGTATTCATGGGTGCTTTGGGTGCGTTGGGTGCATTCGGGTCGACTCAGAAAAGGTTCCACGTCAGCCATAAAGCTGCTACCATCAATGCACCATGCCTTTGCAGGTGTCTACTTTTCACGCGCCTCAGCATAGTATCATCATTCACCATACCTCTGCAGGTGGTTGCTCTCCAGCAGCCACTGCCGCCTCTGCCTGAGGGTTCAGCACCGGCTGCCCGGAGGCAAAAAAGTCCATCAGGGCAGCGAAAACTTCTGGCTTGAGGGTATCCCAGGAGCTCTCCTCCGTTTTAGTCACGGTCACAAAGTCACCCCCCAGGAACACACGGGCAACACCTGTGGATGGGGGCGGTGAAACAACGGTAAAGCGACGATCAAATCAGGGGAAAACTGAGAGACGGGGAAAATGGTAGGAGAGTAAAAGCCAAAACACACCAAGGCAGCACACGATAAGATGACTCTGAATCAACGGCCAGATCCAGAACGCGCAATAGCAATGATGCACCGATGGCAAGGACCAAACCTTGATGGCATCTCACCATCAATGCGAAATAGAGCAATGGCCAGCGGAGAAGCCAGGGCAGCTCGGGCAGAAGAAAACTCGATGGATGACTGAGATGAAGGTTGATCCTCTGATGAGGCGGGCGAAGAAGCGGAAGTGGGAGATGGAGGAGAGGAGGAGGACGAAGTGGGAGGGGAGGAGGGAGAGGAGGAGGAGAGGATGGGGCGGCCGGGGAGGAACATGAGGGAGGCGGGGTTGGGCGTCGTGAGGGTCTGGATGAACATGGCCCGCCGGGGCTGCTGCTGATGTGGCAGCTGCTGACGTGGCACGTGGTGATGCTGAGGTGGCACGACGTGCAGCTGCTGTTGGTGCTGGTGATGGTGTTTGCGCAGGGAGTGCAATTGACGATACCGGTGTTGGTAAACCTGCTTCTGCTGCTGCTGCTGCTGCAGCTGCTGCTGTTGTTGTTGTTGTTGGATAGGTGGGTGATGGGGGTGAAGCAACGAGGAAGCTGCAGTGGCAGAGAAAGGCAGGCCGGAGGGGGCATGTGGTGGTGCCGATGATGCTGACGCTGACAGCGCTGGTGTTGGTGGTAGTGGTGGCGATGATGCTGACAGCGCTAGTGTTGGTAGTGGCGGCCATTGATGCGTTGGTGGGGTTGCATGCTGTGAGGGGTTGAAATGCCGAGGCAGCAGCCTCGCAGCCTGCAAGCGCAATAAGACCCAGAAATCGGGACAACAAGAGCAGCGGAAAAGAGGGAAAACGATGACGCCTGGAACATTGAAGCACCGGCATCGCAGCCTGCAAGTGCAATAAGATACAGAATAGCACGGTAAAACAACACAGCAGGGATAAGGAGAATGATGACGGCGCTTGGAGCACCGAAAGAAACGGAAGGACGCGTAAGGTTGTAAGTTAGCAAGTAAAACGAGCGAGAAAGCGACAGACAAATGCTTTCTTTGAAAGGGAAGAAAACGATAACGCTGGGGGAAGTGACAATTTTGACTTTTGAGTCGACTCAAAAGTCAGCTAATTCTCTAGACTGGGAAGAAAACGATAACGCTGGCTGAAGTGACAATTTTGACCTGGTTGGAGGTCATGTCGCTCTCGGGTCGAGTCTACTCCCCAAGTCGATGTGTGACATTTTAATCAGGTGACTTTTGAGTCGACTCAATAGTCATGTCGCTCTCGGGTCGAGTCTACTCCCCAAGTCACCTACGTGGTTCTTTGACTCCTTTCCGCCATGGAAATATATGTTTGGAGTGAAGGAATCGGCTGGAATGACAATCTTGAGCCGGCTGAGAACGAAGTTAGTTCGATTCAACTTAAGAGTCACCTCGCATGGCTCCCTGACTCCAACGCGCGGGCCATGGACGATAGAGCTAGCTGGAAACGATGCGACATCTGAGCCACCCCAAACGGTTTTTTCTACTCCAATGGAAGGTAGAGCTAGCCGGATCTACATCAACATCTCTTGGCTAGCTGGATCAACATCTCTTTTGAGTCGACCAAGAACACATCTCGAGTCGACTCAAGAGTCACCCCAAACGGTTTTTGATTCCAACGCACGGGCCATGGACGCCCGACTAGCCCGACTAGCCCGACTAGCCCGACTAACTAGATTGCCACTTTTGGGTCGAAGGAAGGTGAGAAAGCGCCGGATCATGTTGATCCAATCCAATCAGTGCAGATTGTGGCAACCCAATCAGCGCGGATCAAGGCAATCCAATCGGATCTCGTGAATGAGTGTTCGAGAAGCGCTCCCCCACTCTCCTAGAGATCTTTTGGTTCTTGAGACGTTTTCTTGACATCTAGAAGACTATCTTGGCAAGTGCTAGGGAATCGTAACGACTTACAGCTCTTCGTGCATACATGGCGCCGCGGAGACAAATGGAGAGAGGTCCAATACGGACGACGCTGCGGCAGGTCGAAAACACCGAAAGCAAGGCAAACACAAGGCTGCGATGCTGATGGTTTTTTCCTCTCTCTCTAAGGCACGTTCAGCAGCGCTTTCCCAGATGCTGCAGACGGCGGTGGCGGGGGGAGAATGTGGAGCGTGGGGAATTGAAACAAGACGACGACGCGCGTGGGGAGTCAAATCGGAGGGTGGATTGACTTGGAGAGGCGAGATGGCGTGAAGTTACGGACGAGAAAGGAAAGCGAGGAGGTGAGGAGGAAAAGGGAGGAAGAAGGATGAGCAAGAAGAGAAGGGGAGGGTAGAGCGGGAGAGGAAAATATTGCTATGCGGGCGTAGTTAGCAGATCTGAATTCCCAAGGATTTTCACATTCAATAAACCCGGCTCGAATTTAAAATGCTATTCTCCGAAGTTTAAGAAAACGTACAATGAGCAAAGTGCACATTGTGTTTCAATCCCAAGCGCCACCGAGAGTGTAACGTGGTAAACGAATGCAGTATTCCAGAAAGGTTTCAATCTGGATTCCCCAGGTTCTTTTTACTTTGGACGCCTCCTCGTTCGTGTATCTCTGCTTGCTCAGGAGTCAGGACTGAAGAGATTCATCAGCCAATCTTCCAGCTGTTTTGTTTCTCCTCATTCCCGTTGCTCCTCCCTCCTCCGCTTCTCATTCTCGTCGGTACTTCAAAATTCTGCACGCAATACCGCGCCAGGTTTAGTGCCTTTCTTATCCCGGCTCGAGTTGATTCACCAAGCTTTCTGAGCCCGCAGCAATCCCCTGAGACCGAAGCACTCGTCTCTTTTTTTTTTTCTCCTCACTCCGCGGTGTTTTCTCTCGAGCGCGTCGAAGCCATTTCAGTCTGTGCGAAGGTCATCGTTGCGAATCTTAAACGCTAGGTTTAGATCCATCCGGGCCGAGTGAGGGATCTTTTCGAGTCGACTCAAAAGAGGGACTGTACGAGGTCATTAGGAGGACGGCTGCGCGCCTGATTACGCTACGATTCGTGGCGCTTCGATTTGTGACCCCGCGTGTCGTGACCGTTACGGTTGCGATCCATCAGGCATCGTTAGGGCGTTTCAAAAAGGCATCAGCAGAAGGTCGGGGTCTGGGGGTCGCAGCGAGCGAGGGAACGTGCGAGTGTAAGGAGGGAAGGAGTATTCGTGCGGCGAGTATGGCCCATCCGGGTCAGTGCAAGGACGAGGCGTCGGGACTGGAGAAGGTGGTTCTCAGACAGGCCGGTGGCGCCACGGCCGAGGTAAATCCTTCCCTCACAGCGTTTCTTAATGTGATTGTAAGCCGTTACCTTGTTACGCGTGGCCCATCCGGGTCAGTGCAAGGACGAGGCGTCGGGACTGGCGAAGGTGGTTCTCAGACAGGCGGCGGAGGTGAGATGCTTGTAAGGGGTAAGTAAGCGCATCGCCGATGTGTGAGTGACGCAGGAGGACGCATCGCCGGTGCGTGAGTGGGCTGGGGAAGGTGGTTCTCAGACAGGCGGGCGGGTGGCGATTCTCTTTTTGAAGCGCCTACACACTTGATGCGCGAGTGGACTGGAGAGGGTGGTCCTCAGACAGGCGGGTGGCGCCACGACGGAGGTGAATTAGTGTTCTGATTTGGTTCGGATTTGGTTCTGATTTGGTTCTGATTTGGTTCGGATTTGGTTCTGATTTGGTTCTGATTTCCATCCCCCACAGAACCAAATTAGCGTTTTTACACTTTATTCGATACTTCGCGAGGAGGACGATGATTAGTGGTTGCATCTCTGGTATCCAGAATTGAGTAGAGCTGAGGGATTGCGTAGAAGGCTAGTGTTCCTTTCTTGACGTTCGCGCCCTAACTCTGCTGCGCTTGACTGTCTGTTCACGTGGTAACCCTGTAACTTCAGGTGTTTTTCCATGGCGGGCACGTCACCTCCTGGAAGCATGACGGCAAGGAGGAGAACCTCTTCATGAGCAGCAAGGTGCTTTGAAGCATGTATTCTTCATTGTGGCTGACCATGTTTTGTTGAGTGTGTCTGTTAGAGGTGTAGCGAGAATGCTAAGCGAACCTCTTCATGAGCAGCAAGGTGCGGTGCCTAGCCCTGTTTTATGCGTGTCTTTCAGCAAAGTACTGGCAGAAGTACTAAGCGCCTGCTCACCAGCAGTAAGCTGCTGCAGTTAAGTGTGTATTTAGTTGCATACTAAAACAATAAAATGTTGTTACGTGCTTGATGATAGGCGGCTTCGGCCTCATGCCCCCCTCCCCTAATCCTCCGTTCCTGCTCTCGCAATTAGTTAGTCCTCCTCCTATTCTTGCTCTACCTATCTCTTTCTCACGCAATCAGTCTCTCTGCCCTCCTGTGTCTCCCTCCAGGCCGTTTTGAAGCCTCCAAAAGCAATCCGTGGCGGAATTCCAGTGTGCTTCCCTCAGGTGATTCTCCAGATGCCGTCCTGTCATTATGATTTACTCCCTTACTACTATCTGTCAAATGGTTCTGCCTTCTTCAACCATACCATTTTCCCGTCTCGTTTCGTCTTCCCGCTCTTCTTCCCTTCTCCCTCCGTTGCCGTCTCTTCCTGTCTCTCACTCACTCCTGTCTCTCACTCACTCCTGTCTCCTTCCTTCTCCCTGGCAGTTCGGCCCCATGGGACCGTTGGATCAGCATGGCTTCGCCAGGAATAGATCCTGGTCGTTGGATCCCGCTTCTCCAAAAACGGACCCGGCCTCCCTCGATCTCCTCCTCACGCCCGCCCCTGAAGACTTGCGCCTGTGGCCGCACAGGTGAGGTTGGGGGCGACTTTTGAGTCGACTCAAAAGTGACATTGTAACGAGGTTGGGGGCTGTTAAAGGTATTTAGCGCACAGGTGAGGTTGGGGGCTGTTAAAGCTATTTAGCGTACAGGTGAGGTTTGGGGCTGTTAAAGGTATTTAGCGCACAGGTGAGGTTGGGGGCTGTTAATGGGTGTAGCGCACAGGTGAGGGTAATTGAAAGTCGTAGCACGTCTAGCAACAGGTGAGGGCACTTCCTTTCTCCTCCTCCTCCTCCTCCTCCTCCTCCTCCTCCTCCTCCTCCTCCTCCTCCTCCTCCTCCTCCTCCTCCTCCTCCTCCTCCTCCTCCTCCTCCTCCTCCTCCTCCTCCTCCTCCTCCTCCTCCTCCTCTGTGTAGAGGAAATCAGCTATCATCTTTGCGCGTTCTCAACACCGAGTGCAAGGCGCTCTCATTCACCCGCGCCTTCCACTTTGCTCTCCCTTCCCCCGGTAGCATGCACTGCTCCCTTCAGCTCTGTTTTTGAGGCGCCTCAAAAATAGACTCCTCACTTTGCTCTCCCTTCCCCTGGGAGCATGCACTGCTCCCTTCAGCTCTTAGCTGCGCCTGAAGGTGACGCTTGGTGATGGAGGCGAGCTGCTGAAGGGAGCAGTGCATGTTACCGGGGGAAGGGAGAGCAAGCACTCCATTCCCTTCAGCTCGGTGATGGAGGCGAGCTGCTGAAGGGAGCAGTGCATGTTACCGGGGGAAGGGAGAGCAAGCACTCCATTCCCTTCAGCTCGGTGATGGAGGCGAGCTGCTGAAGGGAGCAGTGCATGTTACCGGGGGAAGGGAGAGCAAGCACTCCATTCCCTTCAGCTCGGTGATGGAGGCGAGCTGCTGTCGCCCGTTCGCGTGCTCAACACCGACTGCGAGGCGCTCTCATTCACCTCACCTGCGCGCTCCTTTGCACTCCCTTCCCCTCCCCATGTCACGCAGCTTTGAGCGCCGACACGCTACTCACGTCTCCCTTCTCCGCATAAAAGTAGTGCTGGGGAAAGGCGGTGAGCTGCTACTGTCCATGAGGGCGCTCAACCTCAACACCGACTCCAAGGGACTCCCATTCACCTGCACTCTGCACGTTGCGCTCCCTTTACCTTGTTCAATGCCATGCACTATGTGGTGTGCAGCTTTGAGCTGCGAATGAAGGTGGCGCTGGGGAAAGGCGGCGAGCTGCTGTCGTCCGTGAGGGTGCTCAACACCGACTCCAAGGCTCTCTCCTTCACCTGCGCCCTGCACACGTACTTCCGCGTCTCAGACGTCAGGTGGGTGTTGATGGGCGGGCGGCTCCCTTGGAGTCATATCAAGAGTGTGACTGAGCTGTTTGTGAGTCGGCTCAACACCGACTCCAAGGCTCTCTCCTTCACCTGCGCCCTGCACACATACTTCCGCGTCTCAGACGTCAGGTGGGTGTTGATGGGCGGGCGGCTCCCTTGGAGTCATATCAAGAGTGTGACTGAGCTGTTTGTGAGTCGGCTCAACACCGACTCCAAGGCCCTCTCCTTCACCTGCGCCCTGCACACATACTTCCGCGTCTCAGACGTCAGGTGAGCTGCTGCTGTTGTCGTCTCATGTGTCACGTGTCACGTGTCATGTGTCATGTGTCCTCACGGCGCTCTAGAGTCACATTCGTCCGTTTTCTCCCTGCATCCCCCCTGCACCCCTTCCCCTGCTTCCCTGCAGTGAGGTTTGCATGGAGGGGCTGGAGGCGTTGGACTATTCACCTTTGAGTCGACTCAGGGTCGCAATCTCCCTTCTCTTCCCCTTCCCCTTCCCCTTCCCCTTCCCCTCCCCCTTCCCGTTCCCCTTCCCCTCCCCCTTCCCCTTCCCCTTCCCCTTCCCCTTCCCCTCCCCCTTCCCCTTCCACTTCCCCTTCCCCTTCCCGTCCCCCCCCCTTCCCCTCCCCCTTCCCCTTCCCTTGTAGGTGAGGTGCGCATGGAGGGGCTGGAGGCGTTGGATTGCGGTGAGGTGCATTCGTCCCGTTCTCCCCATATTTCCTCTCCGCTTGTCCTTTGATCTGCGTCCCTGCAGCGAGGTGCGCATCGAGGGCTTGGAGACATTGGATTATTTCGACAACCTGGATGCACTCAAGAGAGTGACGGACCAGGGCGACTCCATCACCTTTGACTCGGAGGTACGTGTGTTGAGGGACGAGGTAAGTGGGTGGGACTAATGGGCTCTCGAGGCAACCTGGACGCGCTCAAGAGAGTGACTCGGAGGTGCGTGTGTTGAGGGACGAGGTAAGCGACTGGGACCATTACCCCGTTCTAGGGCCAGGTGAACAGGGTGGGGCTACTGGGCTCACGCACATGAAAAGCTGGGCGCGCTCAGGAAAATGACAGACCAGGGGGACTCCGTCACCTTTGACTCGGAGGTGCGTAATTCAAAGGAGAAAGCGATGCAGAAGACTGTGACTCAAACGAATGTTTGGATGCGCTCAAGAGGGCAACAGACCAGGGGGGTTTCATGTCGCGTATGGCTCGGAGGTGCATAACGCAATAAACCGTGCCAAGGGAGAGCATGCATGCTCTATAAGTCCATGCCGTTCTGTGCTCCTGATCTTCACCTTCCGCGGCGTGCCTATGTCCCCTTCCCCATTGCCTTGTTGTTTCTCTTTGCAGTTTGACAGAATATACCTGAACACGCCAGCAAAGGTGGCTATAGTGGATCACGCAATAAAGAAGACGTACATCGTTAAGAAGGATGGGTTCCTCGATGCAGGTATACAAATTCAGAACTCCCCATCAAACAGTGCAGAGAATCTAGTGGATCACTCAATAGTGAGGACCTTCTTTGTGCTGAAGTTTTGTGTTTCTCGATGCATTCATCACTTATTTCCTTCCAATCATTATCTTGTAACACCCCATCATCACTTGCCATGCATTCAATGCCACGCCATGCCATCTCGCACCCCTTTCTCCCCTTTTCATGTAGAATCCTCCCATACCCTCCCATACCCTCCCATACCCTCCCATACTCTCCCATACCCTCCCATACCCTCCCCTGCTTCCTGCATTTGCAGTGGTGTGGAACCCATGGGAGAAAAAGGCTCGGAGCATGAGCGACATGGGCGAGGGGGAGTACAAGCGCTTCGTGTGTGTGGAGGCAGCGGCAATCGAGAAGCCGGTGCAGCTGAAGCCAGGGGAGGAATGGAGAGCAGGGCAAGAGCTGTCGGTGGTACCCTCGTCCTACCACAGTGGGCAGTTGGACCCTTCCATGGTCACACGGGGGTACTAGGGGGTTTAATTCTTAAGAGTGTTGCTGTGGCAGCAGCTTTAGAGTGTGTGTGTGTGGAGGCAGCAGCAATGGAGAAGCCTGTGCAGGTGAAGTCAGGGGAGGAGTGGAGGTTGGGGCAAGAGCGATCAGTGAGGAGTCTATTTTTGAGGCGCCTGAAAAATGAAGTGGAGGGCGGGGCAAGAGCTATCAGCCGTTCCTTCCTCGTACCACAGCGGCCAGCTGGACCCAACCATGGTTACATGGGGGTACTAGAGGGGGGTTGTGGCACCGGCTTTGGAGACAAAAGTAATCGAGAAGCTGGTGCAGGTGAAGCGAGGGGGGGAGTGGAGAGCGGGGCAAGAGCTATCAGTCGTTCCTTCCTCGTACCACAGCGGCCAACTGGACCCAACCATGGTAAGGAGGGGGTACTAGAGGGGGTCGTATCACAGTGGACAGTATCCAAGCACGATTACTCAGGGTACCGTACAAGGGGTACCTGAGGGTACTAGGGGGTATTTGGGAGTACTCGGGGATAATAGAGGGTGACTGTAACAGTAACTTCAGAGGCAGCAGCAATTGAGAAGCACCGGTGTTGAAATTTCAGACTTGCACAGAGGATAGAAGTTTCTAGTTGCATCACAATCGCAGGTCAGCATTTTCAACGTGCTTGGTAGTGTGGAGTATCAGAATGAGTAGTAGTTGAGTAGAATCGAATGATACATGGGTATATAGACTAGGGGTTGTACCCTCTAAGGCACAATCCAGTATAGTCTACAATAACTACATAACTTACATTTGACACACCCCCTAGACTATATAGGGGCAGTGCCTAATAGGAGAAGAAGCAGCTCAGGGTGGCACTACTAGTCCAGCCTTTGAGGCAAGGGTCTAAAGACCAGTCAAAGGAATACAGGCAAGGCAAGAGCAAGACCAGGGCGGCACTACTAGTCCAGCCACTGGGAGAGGCCACAAGGATAGTCAGGGTAATATATATAGAAAAGGTTTGTACACAATCAAGGCCCTAGCAAGTGAGAAGCTACAGGAACAAGACCAAGCTGAACACAGTGCCGCTGATGATATTTAGGCGCAAGCGCCTTCGTAAAGATATCAGCCGTGTTGGCACCGAAGGCCAAGTGTACTACGCGGGCTTGGCGACGATGCTGCAGCTCACGCAGGAGGAAGTACCGCAGCTGGATGTGCTTCGCTCTGCCCTCGAGTCGCGGCTCCTGACACAGGGGGATCATGGCCCTGTTGTCAGAGTACAGGACCGGGGCAGAGCTAGGCCGCTCACCTAAGTCAGTGAGCAAGAAGGTCAGCCAGCGGAGCTCCTGAGCCGCCATGGCACCGGCGTAGATCTCGGCCTCACAGCTGGACTGGGCAACAGACGAGGAGCGAGTAGCTCTCCACGAGACAGCACCTAAACCAAGGCTAAAGCAGTAACCCTGTGAGGACCTAAGATTCTCAGCGTCGTCTTCCCACGAAGCATCTGTGTGCCCAGTAAGGACCACTGGCCTACGCCCTCCAAGCACTAACCCCATGTCCGATGTACTTGCAACATAACACAAAACCCTCTTAGCAGCAGACCAGTGCTGAGGTCGGTTTCTGCCTGTGGCCACAAAGCGAGCCAGGATGCTGAGAGGGTATGCGAGATCTGGACGAGTGCAAGACATCAGGTACATGAGGCAACCCACCAGCTCGGCGTAAGGGCCACTGGGCTCTACCAACTCCTCAGGAACTAGAGCAGAGAGCCTGTGGTCTACAGACAGAGGGGTGGGCTGTGCAGAGGAGAACTGAAGACCGAACCTCTGAAGGACCTGGCGCACCAAGTGTGACTGAGTCAAAGTGATGGTGCGCGCTGCTCTGTCCCTGGAGATATGCAAGCCAAGGTAATGGCGCAGTTCTCTAAGGTCAGTGCAAGTGTGTCTCTTCAGCAGCTCTGCCTTCACGGAGGTCAGTGCGTCCCTGTCTGCAGTGGCGAAGACCAGGTCGTCTAAGTAAACAAGGATGTAGAATGGAGTCTGGCCTGCACGAACAAAGAGCGAGGGGTCTGCAGAGGACGGAAAGAACTGCAGGCCAGCAAGGGTAGCGCGCAACGTGTCGTGCCACTCATGGGGAGCCTGCCGCAGGCTGTAGACGGGGAGCCGCAGGAGCCATTGGGTCCCAGGAGGGAAGCTACTAGTGAAACCCTTAGGGCGGTGCAGGTAGACCTGCTTGTGTAGACTGCCCTGAAGAAACGAAGTAGAGAAGTCGAGGGAGTGAAGCTCGTAGTCACGCTGAGCTGCTACGTGTAGCAGCACCCGAAGAGTAGTCATCTTCGGGGTCAGAGCAAAGGTCTGGAAGAAGTCCACCCCCTCTCGCTGACTGAAACCTCTAGCCACGTAGCGTGCCTTGAACACAGGCGGCTCTCCAGGAGGGCGCTTCACCTTGAAGAGCCAGCGGCCATCGACTACGTTCACCCCACGTGGGGGAACTGCATCGACGTAGGTGCCGGTGGATCTCCAAGATGCCATCTCCTGCTCCATCGTTACTATCCACTGGGAGGCCCAGGGTCCCGAAACCGCCTCAGCGTAAGTGCGAGGGGTCGGGATGTCGAAAGCGTCGGGGTCACCCTCAGGGCCTAGAAGCATGGAACAGAGATGGGGAGCAGCCTCGGATAGGAAATCAAGCTCGTACTGATGGTCCTCCAGGACGTCACTGCCGAGGGCAGGAGCACCCCCGACAGACGGAGGACAGGCAGGGTCAGAGACCAGAGCGATGGCGTAGTCAAGGCGGCGGGTAGAGGCGAAGTCAGCGACCACAGCGACAAGAGCGTCAAGACACGAAACCGGAATAGATGGGTCGGTAACGAGAGAGGCAAGGACCCGAGGAACAAGAGGACGAGCGGCACGCAGCTTGTCAGACAGAGGGGGGGGCGCAACAACAAGTGAGAACGGAGGAGGCGACGGGAGAAGGGGAGGACGAGACGCGTGGGAACGAAGCAACATAGGGTGAGAGCGCAAGACAGGGGAGACAGGTCGAGCACGGGAGGGACGGCGAGACCAGACGTGAGACGGAGGCGTCGGATCAGGAGACAGAGGAGGGGACACAAGAGGGGAACGAGGGGGGAAACGAGTTGGAGACGAGTCTGGAGGAGGGAACAAGGGGCCGTAGACAGGAGGAGGAGGAGGAGGCCCAGACTCGGGGTCAGGGGACGGAAGGCCGAGCAGGCGAAGCGCTGACACCGGCGGGGACTGCTGCTGTGGCGGAGCGATACCGACATCAGGACCGCAAGCTGCCGGATGGCTACCTCCAGAACACTCCACTCCAGCACCCCCAGAAGGAACACCCCCAGAGCTCAGAACCCCTTGAGCACCGGTACCACTCCCAAGCCCGCCGGGACAAGCCACGACAGGAGTCCCAGGACTAGTACCCACCCCAACTCCGGCACCCCCAGAGTCAACGAACTGCTGCGGCGGCGGCGGCGGCTGCAACGGCGGCGGCGGCTGCAACGGCGGCGGCGGCGGCGGAGACGACGGCTACGACAGCGGTGGCGACGGCGGCTGCGGAGGCGGCGGAGGAGGAGACACCTGAGGAGGGGCAGGCAGCGAGGAATGCGTCGAAGGACCACCAGAGTCAGCAAACTCCTCAACTAGGACAACCGACGTAAGGGGGGTGACGTGGGACACACCAGAGGGGGCAGGACGGGGAGGGGGAGAGGGAGGGGCAGGGACTACCGGGGAAGGGGTGACCAGGAACAAGGGGGGGGTAACCGGGGGACCTCGGTGGGGGAAGCGGCGGTAGAAGGAGATGGACTCGTCAAAGGTGACGTCGCGGGAGTGAAAGAACCGGTGAGACGGCGGGTGGTAGAAGTGCCAGTCAGACGCGTCAAGGGGGAAACCGAGGAAGACACAGGGAAGGGTGCGGGCAGTGAGCTTGTCCGTGTCAGAGGCACGAACGTGAGCAAGGCAGCCCCAGACGTGAAATGCAGACGCGTCACCAGGTGACCCAGAGCAAAGAAGGGTCGGCGAAACCTGCGACTGCTGGGGGTGCGGCCAGAGGTTAAGCTGGTGAGCGGCGTAGCGAGCGAACGGCCACAGAATTTGGGGGGCACCCGCATGGATCATGGAGGTGCGAGCCACCTCCATGACCAAACCGATGCGCCGCTCAGCGACCCCATTTTGCTGCGGGGAGTCCGGCAAGGTGAACATCTGGGTGATGCCCTCCGCACGACAGAAACGACCAAGGACACTAGAGGCAAACTCGCCACCACGGTCGGAGTGGAGACGCAAGACAGGGAGACCGCGGTGGACACGCGCAGAGACAAGCCTCGGGATGAGAACGCCAGGCACGTCGGCCCTCCGCTCTAGGGGGAACACAGTGGTGTAGCGCGTGTAGTCGTCGACAAGCACTAGGAAGTAGCGCTCTCGACGCGGCCCATGGACGGGGGCGGGGCCCCAGACGTCCATGTACAGAGTCTGTAGCGGTGCTGCAGTAGGGGGAACGAGGAGGAGTGTGGAGCACGGCGGAGCCGACCCTCGACACAGGGCGTGCAAGGTGGGGCTGGGGAGGAGGGAAACTCGGGGAACGACCCGGGGAGGCCTAGGAGGAGACCGTGCTGTGACATGTGACGCAGACGTGGGAGCGCAGGGTGACCTAGGCAGTGGTGCCAAAGGAGGGTCGGGTGAGTGAGTGACCGACTGGAGCAGGCAGCAGCAACCTGAGTAGACGCAGCCACCTGAGGGGGCGTCCCAGCCGGGGAAGTCACAGTGTCCAGTGTGAAAGGGCCGGACACCGGGTCCCGTGGGAACGTGGTAAGGGGGGCACTAGTGACGGCCTCAGTACAGACAGCGTACCGCTCGTGACCAGGGAACGTAGTGGTGACGCCAAGGTCCTGGAGGCAGCCGACACCAACTAGGTTCCTGGAGAACGAGGGGATGTGCAGACCTGTTAGAGAGCCCGAAGGAACCGCTAGACAGGGAAGGGTGGTGGAACTGCGGGCGACTACAGGGCCGGAGGAGGGGTCGCAAGAGAAACTTCAGCAGGAACAGAAAGCGGCGTCAGCGTGGTGGAGTCGCGGAAGAAACACCGGGAAGCGCCAGAGTCCAAGGTGAAGGAAAGCGCGGAAGTGGCGGCCAGAGTCGAAGCACTTACGAAAGCACCAAGGCTAAACAAAGCAGGGGATCCTACGCCCGACGCAGCAGGGGAGTCTAAGCTAGGCGCACCTACACTAGGCAACAAGGGCTAATAAGAAGGAAGCACACTAGAGTTATCAGCATACATTACATGCAGAACAGTAACAATCTCATCCATATCCAGATCAAAATCTGAACCCTACGACAAAGCAAACTGTGCCAGTCTGGGAGCTCGGGCGACGGGCCGAAAAGCTAACGAAACAGGTCGTCCAGGCGATGGAAATAGCGGACGGAGGTGTGACCGATCTTACCGCAAACGAAGCCACGGCTATGACCGGTCTGGAGCTGGTACGGACAGCGCGCGTCACCTGAACCACCACCCGGCAACCCACCACGCGCACGACCACCACGTCCAGCACCACCACCAGTGCCAGGCCACCCGGGTGGGAGACCACTCGCCCGCCTCAGCTGCTGCGGCTGCTGCGGCGGCTGCGGCTGGTGCGAGGACTGCTGCAGCGACTGGCGCGTGTCCGGCTGCAACACCTGCGGCTGCTGAGACGGCTGCTTGGCTGCACCTGTCAGGGTCCCCTCGTCTGCGCCACCACTAGGTAACCCAACTCCACCACCACCTACACCTGAACCCCCACCCCCTCCGCCGCGCCCAGCCTTGGGGCGGCGACCCTTCCCCGAACGGACCTGTGTTGCGGCGGCTGTCTTAACCACAGCAGCAGAACCGTCGAAGCTGGTGCACTGAGCGGGGGCACAACTCTGAAAGATAGGGACTGGCACAGTACCGCTGGTCTGGGCGATAGAGCGGTGGCGGGCCTCTATGGCGGACAGGGTGTCAACAAAGTCAGTGAGGGTGAGGTCTCCGGGGTGGACGCTAAGGAAGTGGTCGCGGGCAGTGGCAAGGCGGTCAGGGAGGCGGGTGGCCAGCAGGTAGAGAGCAGAGCAAAGGGGCGGCTTGTGAGCGCGAAGCTGTCTGTCAGTGCAGGCAGCGCACCAGGTCTCGTCTATAGTGCGCAGGTGGGCGGCCAGATTAGCGACAGTGGGAAACGACGCAAGGTTAGGGAAGAGCATGGGGAGGATCAGGCGACCTACCGAGGCAGCAGGCGGGGTGGAATAGCGCTGGACAACAGCATCTAGGAAAGCCTAGGCAGTGGTGACAGACCTAAAGCGAGGGCGCTCAGACAGGGGAAGGGCATGGCTGATAGCAAGCTGTGCGACAGCATCACGCGACAGCCAGATGGAGCGAGCAAGGGCAGCGGCCGCAGCGGACTCACGCTCAGCAGACGAGGGGTCAGCGGGCAGCACAGCAGGGGGGTCAGGGCAGGGGAGCATACCGTCAAGATAGACAGACAGCGAGTGGCCATCCTGCCGCTGACCAGTAAGGTGGCGGCGGAGGTCGGCCAGCCACGCCTCAAAATCAATCGGCTGGCCCTCAGCATCAAAGCGAAGCACCTCCGCCATCAGGAACGATGCAGGGCGGTGTAGAGCGGTGCAGTGCGATGCAGTGCGGTACAGCGCAGTGCTGTGCGGTGCAATGCAGTATAGCGCAATGCAGTGCGGTGTAAAGCGGTGCAGAGCGGTACAGTGCGGTGCAAAGCGGTGCAGTGCGGTACCAGGGGGGTTGTAGGGCAGTGCTAGTCGGGAAGAACGGGCCGAGCACGAGTCGGCGGCGGGCTGGCGGCGAAGCGAATGCGGGGCCGGCGACGACGGCGGACGCTAGGGGCCGGCCGGCGGACGCGAGGGGCCGGCAAGGGGCGGGCACGGGGCCGACGAGGGGTGGGCACGAGGGGCCGGTAAGGAGTGGAGACGAAGGGGGCGGGCTAGGAGCAGACACGGCGGCACGAGGAGCCGGCTAGGAGAGGGCGCGACGGCTCAGGGGAGGAACAGCCAGGACGGGCGCGGCGGCGAGAAGGGGCCGGCTAGGGGCAGGCGCGACGGCGAGCAGGGCTGGCTAAGACGGGCGTGACGGCACACGGGGCCGGCTAGGGACGTACTCAACAGTGCAGGGGGCCGGGGAGGACGATCGCGACGGCTGCTAGGAACGGTCGCGACGACTAGGAACGGCCGCGACGGTGGCTAAGGACGACCGCGACGGCTAGGAACGGCCGCGAGAACGGCTAAGGACGACCGCGACGGCAGCTAAGGGCGTTCGCGACGGCTAGGAACGGCCGCGACGGTGGCTAGGAACGGTCGTGACGGCTAGGAAAGACCGCGACGGCTGCTAGGAACGACCGCGACGGCGGCTAGGAACGGCCGCAACGGCGGCTAGGAACAGTCGCGACGGCTAGGAACGACCACGACAGCGGCTAGGAACGTTCGTGACGGCTAGGAACGGCCGCGAGACAGCGGTTAGGGACGGCCGCGACGGCTGCTAGGGATGGCCGCGAGATGACTAGGGACAGTCGCGACGGCTAGGAACGGTTGCGACAGCGTCTAGGAACAGCCGCGACGGCGGCTGGGAACGGGCGAGACGGCAGTTAGGGACGGACGCGTCGGCTAGGGGCGGGCGTGACGGTGGCTAGGGCCTAGGGCAGAAGCGTGGGCGGGCTAGGTGGGGGGCCGAACCTACTATGATACCATATCAGAATGAGTACTATTTGAGTAGAATAGAAGGATACAGGGGTATATAGACTAGGGGTTGTACCCTCTAAGGCACAATCTAGTAAAGTCTACAGTAACTACATAAGTTACATTTGACATGGAGTATTGTATGTGGAGAGACCCGCTGGGGTTACCCTTGAGAGGATCATCGGGGAAGGGCCACAGGTGCAGAGCCTGGGGGGGGGCTATGGGCGTACTGACCCGCTATTAACAAGCCCTTTTTACTCAGTGGTTAGTGGCTGAGTTCGGACATTGTATACGGGGTTGTCAACATATATATTATATGTATCGTTGTGTAGGCTTGGTAGGTGTTCTACAAAGTAGTTGTGCTAACTGTAGACGGGACATCTCTACTCTTGTTCCCCCTCTCTCTTCTCGCTGTGCGACTCGATAACTGTTCCTTCAACTGTATTCTACAACTGCTTCATTTCTTATTTTCCATATATTGCTGTATGCTTGTTTCATTAAAGCAATCACTTGCTCTCACATACTAGTGCAAGGGTTCAACTACTCAACACTTCCGTTGCACTACTCAAGCGTTTTGTACAAGTGGGGATTAGTCTCTGAAAAGGTCCTAAGGCTTTTTCTCAGCCCAACAAGCGACGTAGCGAACAGTGAACGGCCACAGAAAATGGGGTGCACCGGCATGGATTATGGAGGCACGAGCCACCTCCATGACCAAACCGATGCGTCACTCAGCGACCCCATTCTGCTGCGGGGAGTCCGGCAGGGTGTACGATTGGGTGATGCCCTCCGTACGACAGAACTGGCCAAGTCGACCAGAGGCAAACTCGTCACGATGGTCGGAGTGGAGATACAGCACCAGGAGACTGCGATGGACACGCGCAACTACGACCCACGGGATAAGAACGTCAAGCACGTCGGCCTTCCACTCCAGAGGAAACACCGTGGTGTAGTGCTTGTAGTCGTTGACAAGCACTAGAAAATAGCGCTCTCGACGCGGCCCAGAGACGCTGTGAGAGTACGACCCCGTTACACTATTTTCCCCTTTCCATATTTCCTTTCTATTTCATTCCTCTTTTTATCCTCATTCATTTGGTCTTTATCTCATCTCATTTGGTTTCCTATTCCTCCTTTTCCATTATCCTTTGGTTTATCCTGTTATTATAATTATATCACCGACCAGGCTTGGGATGTACTGGCGCGCTATATCTAGCGTAATCCTGCCGAAATCCCTTGTAGCCAATAGCCTCGCGTGGCTATACGCATGGTGATTCTATATTCTAGAAGGGTCTATTCCCTTTGGATAGGATAAACCTGGTTACCTGATGTAATCTGGAAGTATAAAAGCACCTTGTACTGATTGATAGTGCAACATTGAGCAAACCTTTCCTCGGGACATTCGATCCTGTGACACTTGGTATCAGAGCCAAGGTTCAGCTCAACGCTTAACCGCTGGGCCCCCAGGAGCACGCGGAGGATGGAGTCGAAACTTCAATTCCTGTAAGTACAATGCACTTTCATTTAAGTTTCGTCTCTCCTCTCGCAGTTGCACCTGGGGTCCCCATCAAAGGCGAGATGCCTCGCCGACCGTTCGATGGACTGCATCGACGGAGCCGATTTTTCGCGGGGGCAAAACGGCCTCGACCTGGCGAGCGCGTCAGTTCCGGCGGAACACTCCCTGCGACATTCGGAGAAGTTCGCAGTTCGCGACAACACTTGGAGTTGCGCGGAACTCTGCGGAGGTTCGACCGACGACATCCGTCCGATGGAGATTCGACGCTTCAGATCGACCGAGGCGAAAACGAAATCCATCCGAGCGAGTTTGCGTTTCGGCGCGAATGGGAACGGGACCTCGCAAGCCGCGAAATTCTTCGGAGCGTTGGATCGATCGACAGCCGACATCGACGACCGAGAATTGCTGCAGGAAACGAGTCAACTCGGACACTGAAAGCTGCTGAACGCGTCTCAGGAGTATCCTCAGATCGCTTGGAGTTTGGACCGTCGGATCGACTTCTACTTCAACGGACGAGATGGAGCGTGACTTCTGCACGAAGGGAGAATGACGCGCAGAACCAGAAATCAGCCGCCTTCGACACCGTCGACAACATCTGGACAACCAAATTCGAATTCCTTCATTTGGTAACGAATTTGGCGCGCGAATCATCTACGGAGTCAGAAATCTGCTAGAGCATTACCTACTTGGTAATAGCTGCAAGCAGAAAAATGACAGGAGAACGTGGATCGTCGGATTGGTGCGGAATCAACGGCACGAATACAGCAGAGACTACACTATGGGAAATCATCATCATGGAGACAACATTCGTGACCAGCGACTGCACAATCGACGAATCTTCTGACAAGTGTCGATAACGATTGAGTTATTTTGACGAAGGCATCTTCGTTAAAAATGGATCGACATCAACACAGCGAGATCTTCACCCAGGAAAAACAATGGAGCTGCGTGAAGACATGTTCTCCATCCACGAGACACTTCTTCATACAAATTGATCGACAACCTATGGGATTGCAGAGAAGTAGCCGTTTTCTCTCGCAATGCTCCCAAGTTCAAGTTGCTGCGAAGGAGCAGATTTCGCACGCAACGACGACGCAGTGAACCCGTCTCGTCAAGGCCAGCGAGACACTACTTTGTAACAGGAGCTGACCGATTCGTCTTCATCAAGAATCTCAGCCATCCGAGGTGATTGATTGGAGCAGTCTCAACATCGACCTCACGAGGCGACACACCAATCATGCGTCGCGATTCCAGGTGTTAA